AAGCTGCCCGTCTCCTCTCTTCTAACCTGCACCATTGTATCGCACACACCAACGTTTTCAACACCATGACATACTCGTACTCTCAAAGGCCAAAATTCTTTGGCGTCACGTACACTAATTTATTAACGACGCAATAAAAATTATATTTTTCTTTTTCTAGCCTCCTTTCGGTCGAAGATAAATCGATTTTATCAGCAACGACGGCGTAATGCATACCGCGACGAGTTCGTTGTATTATCCTTCGCACTCTGCAAAGTTCGGGGCGCCGACGGCGCGGTGAAATTTCAATAAATCTTTTCACCCTTTCGCTCCTTTCGAAGTGACTTTGGCTTTCAGTGATCAATTAAAAGGCCCTGAATTCGCTAAAATTATTTATCGCCGGTAACAAGACCTACACTTCATTCTGAGGTAAAGATTAGTCAAACATCTTCCATACATAGCCTCGGCCGCGGTGTGCAATTCTCCATTCGCCTTCTTGAGGAGATTTTTACGATATGTAACGTCCTTCACTGAACCATACAACCTTTAGCGACTTGGATTTCCACTCTCAGATGATGGATAAGTTTCCTTGGCGTTTACAGAATATTACCGCCGGACATTGCCGCAAAACATCATATCGTTCTTGGTTTACTTTGGTGACAACACTTCCCGCACTCCCGTGGGCTAAGTATAGACAAAATTCCTACTAGGACGCCCATCCCTTCAATAATTTAGTTGTCACCTCCCAGATTCTGGGAGACACGTGACCAGACCCAACCAGGTCTCTCTTCGCTCGCTCCAGGGGGCGGTAAGATGAGAGACCCTGGGAACGAGGTTGCGATGGAAACAAAGAGGTCCTTGTCTGGGCAAATTCCGACAGCGCTATGGCTCTGATCGATCTGAGGAGTTAAAATGACGTCACGAACGACGACACCGCTCACGCGAAATTACGACAGCGACAAAGAGAAATGCCAAATCGACAACAACACTGTCACAGCGACATTCGGCCACTTGCAGTGCATTTGGACGAAAGAAATTGTACTTTACTATATCAAGACAAAAATAAAGTTCAACTTTCTGTGAGTCTTGGCAGTCTTCTTTGTTGTCTGACCCTCTTCTTTCATCTTCTTTTCCCATCTTTCATAAGACGTTAAGCTTTCTGGTCACGCGCTCAACCCTAGGATGTCACTGCATTTCTGTCATACCAGAAAAGCGCAAGGTGTTTTCTTTTTTAAATCTTTGCTTAAAAGCTTCATATAATAAGGAAGAATGAGACAGATTAAAAAACACAAACTTGAAAACTTTACACTTAGTAGACCCAGTTACCCTCAATTGAGTTGGTTTTTATTTAAAAATTGTTTAAAATTGAAATAAAATTGTTTAACAACAATAACCTTAGGATGTCGCTGCATTTCTGTTATACCGGAAAAGGCCAAGGATTTTGAGACACATTAAAAAAGCAAACTTGAAACAGCCAACAACTTTGAATTCAAGTTCTTTGTTTGGAATCTTATTCCTGATGCCAAAGTTTCCTTGCTTTTGTTCACTTTGTTGATGTCCTGGTAAGATCAACAGGAACAAAAAAAAGTGCCAACTCCATGGAAGGGTCTGTTAAGGTCGAAGCTCCACGTCTTGTCACAGTTTGATATGTGGGAAGATCACTAGAGACGTCCACACTTGAATAAATCACAAAATGATCAGCCGACTTCAATAATTTATAGTAGACAGTAACACTCACTGAAGTCTCGATTAGGTACATCAGAAATTAATTCTCTCATTTTTCTCGCGTTCCATATACAACTTAACAATCACTTGTTGGCTTAGAAGCTCTCCACTCAAACCACGAACATGCATTATTATTCTTTCACACATACTCGCACGCGATCCTCACTTCAACAAGAACGTGACATAACAAATTCACGCAATGGAAGCGAGTTTGCGACATATGCCGCGCCCCTTACAATAAGCGCTCCCATCACGGTGCACACCATAATTTACTCATGTAATTGGTAACAAACTCTAACTGTTTTGCATCGGCTCACGCGCTACTTTTTGTTACCACATTTTAAAGCGATGCAATCTCGCTCCCAGAGTCTTTGTTCACCTTGACCAGCGGTCGGAAAACGAGACCAAGGGAGCAACCATTTTCGGCGTGCGCAATAGATGCAGACCGCGCAGTGAAACAGGATGGGCAGAATTCGGTTATTTCAAAATGGTTCCTTCCAGAGCTCTCGTTTTCCGACCTCTGGTCAAGGGGAACGAAGACTCTGGGAACGAGATTGAAAACGATGAGAAGTCAAAGATGGTATATATAAAACAATATTTCGGCTGGACAGACCAGCCTTCTTCAGGTTTAGAAGTTAAACCTGAAGAAGGCTGGTCTGGCCAGCCGAAACATTGTTTTAAATATACGACTTTATGTTAGCCTTGCAGTACACTTTCTTTTATATAGGAACGTCTAATTTTGGAGCTGAGACTGAACGTTCTTATGATTTTTTTGCGACTTGAGGCTGAAAACTTTCTTAACAGGTTCTTAAATTTACGTGGTATACAAGGTCAACTACCTTGATAATGTTTAGGACTTTGTATTACCTGATGACTTTGATGGTGTGGAAGTTATTTTGGAACAGTTATAAATAAGAACTGCTGATTATTATAAATCAAGATGTGGGTCATGCAATAAGAAAACCATTGTTAACGTTATACAAAACATGCCAGCGAGTATTTGGGTTAATTTTCCATTTTTTGTTACCTTTATTTTATGCTTGCCATTTAATACATATACAGATTAGCAAAATAAGAAAAAGTTCTTAATCGACTCTCGGCCTAAGGAATGTTCTCAATACGTTCTTAAAATTTTGGTTAGTCTCAGTCTCAACGTTCTTATAGAAGAGGTTCTCTTTTAAAAGAGAGTGTAGTCTTTGACTTCTCGTTTTACTTTTCAAGGTTGGCTGATCAGATCTCCTGTGAGATTCAACGTTCAATCAAGCAGGATTTTCGTTCACGGCTTTGCAGTTTATTTAGTTTGTTACCACACTGTACTTTGACGTCATCTGTGATTTCATGAGCAGACGCACGGTATAACATGGAATCTTTTAGATAATTAATCTATAGAGCACGAAATAATGCACAATACCACACGATGATATACTGCTCGATGTTATTTTAATGTTCTCACACTAAGGTTTCACCATCAGACTTAAAAAAGAATTGTAGCCATCTTGTAAAGTCTGAGAACGATACTACATATTAAAGAACTTTAAAGCGAGAGTTCACACACAAAAGGGTGTCATCCACTTACTTTGCTTTTCTAAAAATAGTTAGCCGAAAACCGCATTTTGCGGATGGCTTTGAATTAAAACTTCCTCCATAAAGCTAAGTGAGATTCCAAAACTTTGTGGCCACGGCAAAGCGACATCAGAGCCTAACAACTTAAGAACTACCCGGCAAAAACTTTACTTATTTTATTATTATTATTATTATTATTATTACTATTATTATTATTATTATTATTATTATTATTATTATTACTATTATTATTATTATTTTTTTTTTTTTGGCATTTTTCTTTCTTTCTGATAGATAAAATAGACATTTTTACTAACGTCCCAGAGGTTTAAAGCCACCTTGTTATCTTTTCATGAATGTAAAGGTTCTGCAAACAGATTTTTCTTACCAGCTTGAAGTGTATGTATAAGTATAGTTGTAATAGAGCTTTGAAGTTTTAGAGCTTTGAAGTTTTTAATAAATAAAACAATTCAGAACGTTTTCCTATGATTTCCTTTCTTGTTCACAAGAGGATGCCGTAGTCAAGTCTGGGTTTGATTGAAGAATATTTCTTCCTTCCTAAAAACACTAACGCAATCTTCATTATGGCTTTAGAACGTTGTCTAGCAGGGTTACGTCCTCAACATGTGACGGGATTGTCACCTTCAGTAAGGGATTTTGTTCCATGGCTGTGCAGATGGCACGCTTTGCATGAAGGTTGCCTGACCAACAGCGACGCGCAACCTGAGAAAATAAAAATAGAGAGACCGGTTTGTAAAATATGACAAAACTTGGTCAAATACTTGAGTGGCACACCACAATATTAAAAACTGGATCATTGGATAATACAATTCAAGAGTTTTCATTTGCTTAGCCATCATGGCATATGAGCCATTATTCCATGCTCTACAAAGATGGTAAGCGTACACGCAACTTTTGGAACCTTTTTATCCTTTTTTTATTTTAGTTTTCTACATTTTGGTGGCGTTTCTAATAAAAAAATTATTCCACTCGCGCTTATTGGATACGAGATGATAATAGTTATTTACCATCTCATATCCAACGCGCGCTCGTGGAATAATTAAGGAGTTTACGAAACCACGACGGCGACGCCGAGGACAGCGTCGATTAAAAAATGGATTTATATTTTACCTACGAATCTCGCGATACTCTAAAGTCATTTACTTTGTTTATCACTATCAAAACTATCGCAAAACTAAATCCGGAACACAGCGATAAATTTGAAATAAAAATTTAAAATATTAGCCGTCGTTGTTCACGTTCTCCAGACAACGCAAAATTTGGTCATGTCACGTTGTTGTCTTGCAAAGGACGGCAAAGAAATGTACCAAGAATTATAACGCACGTGCACAGCCATTGTTCTGCTCATTAATTCTTTTGTTCAGTGAAGTTCCCGTTGCCGTTGCCGTTGCCGTCGTAGTTTCGTAAACTCCCTATTGTTAAATATAATCTTACTACAGCATTTCTTTCGGGGAAGGGGGAAGGGTGGCAGCTTGTCGCGATTAGGTGGCACTATTTTTTTCCCGTTTTCGCAAAATATCACGAAACGAAGCCAATCAATTTTCGTCAACAAGAGATCTGAGAACGATATTAACTTTTACGCTCACTGCTTTTATGAGAAAGCCCTTTCCTGAGAGAAAATCAATAACCCAGTGCCCCACGCGTCAAATTGTATTTCTACGGCAAAGGTATTTAGCACGACTCCATGTATCATCAGTGTGATTTCTTACTCCGTTGTTGACATCCCAGGATAGCATCACACGAGCCCTATCATTGGCTTCCTGCCGTGCAAACAAAGAGATAATTCATAATCCATCACGCGAAATCTATATTTATAGATTACTGCATGAAGTATACCATTGTTATTCCAGGAGGGTGACAATAAAGAAAATTACGAAGCTTTAAAAAACAAGTGCACGCAGTGTGAGCCAGAGAAGCGCAAAGTGCCCGGCAACAACTGCTAGTCTTACAACCATCGAGTGAACATATTGAACACAACAACAACTTATAACAACTTGCAACTTAGACTACTGAATTTAAATTGAGTAAAATTTTTGGCAAATCTAACAACACCAAAAAAATTGTATCTAGCAGCTCCTTGTTGACAAGGCCAACGGAACCACCTGCATAATGTAGTCTTCCTCGCCCAATATCTTTGATATTCCTACCCAATACCTTTGATAAAGGTCTTTACCATAGCAATGAAAATGGGCCAATCAGCACTCGACAGAATAACATGCGCCTGGTGTAAAGCGCGAAAAAAAAAAAAAAAAAAAAAACGCGCGTAAGGTACGTGATGTCAGAAGTGTTCCTGATTGGCTGGAGAAAAGCACGTTCCCTCTGATTAGTTAACCGTTAAAGCCATTAGTAAAATCGAGAAAACTCTAAGTAAAGGGAAATAATTTTCTTTCGACAATCATAATTGGGGTCTGTTCTAGAACGACACACTTACTTGAGATCCGTCTAAAACAAGGCCAAAGCCTCCATTGACAACTTCACCCCTGAAAATAACAGTATTGGTTAATAATATAATAACTATATCGTGTAGTAAATATTTCTTGCCTCCTCACATTTTAGAGCTTCGCACACAGACTTACTGAACTTAGAGCCACCTTGTGCAGCCTCAAAAACAGCTTCAAATGAAAGTGCTGCTCGATAGTCTTTATTGAGTGTTCACACACTAGGGTTTCATCCACAGACTAAAAAGTTAGAACCACCTTGTACATCGTAATAAACAGTACCACATGAAAGAAAGCACTGCTCAATATATAGCTTTCATTTGAATTGTCACACACTAGGGTTTCATCCACAGACTTAAAAGTTAGAACCACCTTGTACAGTATGACAAACAGTACCACATGAAAGTGCTACTCAATAGCTTTCATTTGAATGATCACACACTAGGGTTTCATCCACAGACTTAGAATTAGCACTACCTTGTACAGCATGATAAACACTACCACACGAAAGAACTGCTCAATAGCTTTCATTTGAATGGTCTCATACAAGGTTTCATGCACAGACTTAAAAGTCAGAACTACCTTGTACAGCATGATAAACAGTACCACAGGAAAGTAATACTCAGTAACTTTCATTTGCATGGTCTCATACAAGGGTTTCATGCACAGACTAAAAAGTTAGAACCAGCTTGTACAGCATGATAAACAGTACCAGAATGAAAGTACTGCTCAGTAGCTTTCATTTGCATGGTCTCATACAAGGGTTTCATGCACAGTCTTTAGCATTTGTAAAGAGTGGGCGGCTATTCGCAAGCTACAACTGAAAATAAATGGGAATTATCAGTGGAACCTCTACGGAGTAGCTATACGTCGACTGTTTCCGAATTGAGTTGAAATTTGGAAAGTGTTGCATTAACTTAAAAGACCAAATAGTTTACCGTAGGCTTCAATCAAACAACTTATCACAACTAACCATCCCACACCACCGCCGTTATGTAGTGCAACCCAAGTAGCTCCACGGAATGAATCGCCGATAGCATTTTGAACAGCCATGTCTGAATAGAGCAAAAGAAAACCAAACAAACAATAAACAATTAAAATCATGCGGTTAGATACCGATATGATATTTCCTATAATACAGCCGAGAATATATGGTCCCTCAAATTGAGCAGGCAACAGTCGAACGAACAGTTACAAACCTGCACAGAAGCTAGACCCGTCGTAAATGTTTGAAGTCTCTCGGAATGGGCTAAGAAACAAACAAACAAACAAGACTTTCCAACAAATATCATGTTTGAACTAGATGAAGTTAATATTAAGTTCATTCAGGCCGGGCCTTGAACGCACACAATGCCATTTCAACACAACAGATTGCAACATTGCTGTGCACAACATGTTGCACGCGTGTTTGGCAAGCCTGTTCAGTGAACCTAACAAAGTTTTAAAAAAATATGAACAAAATATTGAAGAGTACAGATCATACAAATATTTACCTGTCTGTGCCACTAACATCATGATGGTCTCGACTTATAACAACACAACCCTAAAAAAATATAGTGGGCAGGAGTATAGCTTAGCAATGTCGTCGTAATGTGTAGAAAAACGGAAAAGAGAAAAACAATGCTCTCTGTTGGAAACAAATCTTTTCGCAGATTTCGATATGGTAGAGCGGTCTTTACTTGAGTGCCGAAAGTACAGTGGAAGGTCTCATAAGCGGACACCTTCGGGACGGAATAAAGCTGTCCGTAACTGGAGCTGACCGATTACGAAAATTGTTCTCGTAAGCGGCCGGCCACTAGAGTTGTGAGAAAAAGATGGCCGCCTACGGGAGCTCGCCCAGCTTAAAATAAACATTAGGAATGCAAAAATGCCACCAAATTATTATTATTATTGGTTTTATTGCCTTTTGCAATGCCGAAATAATGACGATAATTGTAAACAGTACTACATACTGCAGTGCGGAGGAACCCCGTTAATCCAGTCACCAACCGGCCACAAAAATTTGGTAGCACAGTAGAACCCCGCCTTGCGACCACCCCGTTAATACGACCACCTCGTTATCAGTGCCACTTTATCCTTGCCCGAACAAAAGCTCAGTCAGTCACTTTCTTATTTAAAGAGCTCCTTTAATAAGGCCACCCCGTTAATACCACCAAATTTTTGCAGCCCGTTGGTGACCGGATTAACTGGGTTCCACTGTATTAGCGGGGTAACCGTAACACTCGCATGATGACTTTTTTGGACGTGCATTAACAAGACAATAGTTGATGCACCCGAGTGCAATGTATGAAATTTGTCTTATTGTGTATTTCTGTGAGAAAACTTCTCTTACCTGCAATCGCCCTTCACTTATGCCTTTATTGAACGCCTGTGCCAGAGCGACCCTTCCCCGTTGGTCTGAGTACAAAATCCGCGCCTGAGAACCCACTACCTGAAAATGAAAACACAAGATGCGCTGATGTGTGTTTCCCTCGAAATAACGATGGTTCTGGTAAATAAGTAATGGAAAAAGAGGACTGTGTGGAGTCCAAAGCGGTCTGTGATCAGACGAGTAAGACTAACTTTTTTCATCGTAATTAGCCAGAATTAGAGAACACGAAGACCTCTTATTAGTTAATCAAAGGTAAACTAGCTGAGAGCACGTTTTAGTCAAGTGGTCCATACAGCCAGCGTATCACTCCGATTTCCGTCGCACTTTAATGCTTAAAAGCAATTAGGAGAATTCCTTCTCCCCCCTGAATGGGATGCTTGCCTATCGCAGGGCTACCCCCCTACCCCAGCGCGTGCCCAGTGTTAAAATTCATGTAGCGTTACTAAAAGACATTTATAAACCTGGTTAAAAGCGGCACTGCGGTAAAGTGTCTTTTCCAACAACGCAACGCGTTTCAAAGATTTGAATAAGTGATGCGGTGACCCGCCACGAGATATTTCCGTTGTGTGCTCATCCAAAAACGTTTCCTCAAAAAAGCGCTCAGTAGTTGTGCAAGGAAACGTAATACCTGCCTCGCCGCCACTCGCCCGCGCGATAGTAAAAAAAAAAACTAACTAACTAACCACCAGCTCCCGCTCGCATTTCATGCCGAATTCCAGTCTTTGCGCTTAGAAAGAAAAAGAAAAGGCTGTGGAGGAGGCAGACATTATACCAGTTGATGCTGCTGCGCCTCCTCGATCCATTTCAGGTTGTCCTCGTATTGAGCTTTCACCTCGGCTGGCACTACAAACAAAGCAAACAAAATTAATGTCAAGCTCTCGAAATATGTTTCAGCGTTTCACATTTTCGTAAGACAGCCCATAGTTAATCGCTGAAAACTAGTGACCAAATCCAACGAAAAAGTGTTTCGTTTTGAAATAGCAGAGGATTCGATATATGGAACAAGAAATACTGTGCTTCATCAAGTTTCCAAATCTAAGAAGAAAGTTGAGACTACGATACAACGGAGAATTTTTAACGAACTTCAAGGTGTTTGAAAACTTTGTTTGTGGTAAATCTTTTAAATCGAAGCAAAAAAGAAGGCCGAGTAAACGGAAAATAAGATAGTAAAAATCCATGTTAATTAAGGTTATTCCCCAGTATTGCATTGCGCATCCCTACTGCGCATAATTTCACGCGTGATTAGCGCGCGCATTAAAAAATGGCGGCTT